AATAGGATTCCTGTGACGCACTGTATGACTACACATAATACGTATCTGTTAGTCCTCCCATTGTACAGCGCTTCGGGATTTGTTGACGCTTTATAAAAAATAATAAGGACTATGATTCAAAAGCTTTTTCATTGACTGAGGGGATTGTTACTATATTTATAGTGGTCCTGACTTTCTATAAGGATTAACTGTATTCCCCATTTTTCTCTTGCTCCCTGGACTTCAGCAGAAGCAGGTTTAATTCCCACCCTTCCATTTTTGTCTTTTTTATTTCCTCTGCTACTCTTATTTTTTTTTCTTTTGTTTCAGTGTTGTCACAGTTTGTGGGTTACTTTCTGGACAGTCCCTAAAATATTATGACGCTTGTGTGCATGGGATAGAGAGTTACTGTACAGCATATGCTGCAGGGACCATGCTCTGTGTCAGGTGAATCTGCCTGCTGGCCTTGAGTCTAGCAGCCAATGTTTATTATAAGATAATGAAGTGTTATGTTAAACTGGGTTATAATGTTTGACTAATAAAGCTGTTAAAGTGGCAAATAAAGCTGTGGCCAAACCATACCCCACACCCCACTACCTCGGTTTCTCTGTATAGTTATTTCCGGTGGGAGGATTGGCAGTTACGAGTCTCTGTCGTTGGGACTTTTGTGCATTCTAGAATGTAATTTTCTAAAAGTGCTGTCTTATCACTGGGTGACAGTTACATTATACATACAGTACTGGAACTAAATAAATAAATGAAATGCATGGTAAGACACCCAGAAAAAAATTGGAGGATTATAGCTGATGATATGAGAGGATAATTACAGCTCTCGTTAACATGGACAAATAATATTAAATAAAAGTTCATTTTTGCACCTGTTTTGTCTTTTCTGTTTCTTTATTTGTATTCCTCATACATTGTAAACTCATTTGAGCAGGCCTGCTTCACCGCTTGTCTCTAAATGTCAGGTACTTTCTATAATTGTAATATAACTGCGGTATATATTGACACTATATAAATACTAATCATATTGCCTAATAACAAATAGGTTTAATATCAGGTGAAGGTTATATAACTAAATTCAGAGGCCCATGTAAAAATGTTTGACCAGCTCATCCATTTGTCAATTAAAAAAATGACACTAATTGTCCACCATCGTGTTATTTTGGAGGCTGTGCATTTTCTACTAGAAGATCGTGGGATAAAACACAGCTGCACAACACACAGTGAATCGTAGTGTATTGTATTACAGCTAAATGAAAGTGTTTGAGTAGTAATAAAAAAATGACTCCTATAATGGCTCCCTTATACTCCTATATTTGCCTTTTATATGGATCAATTCTGAGTAGGTATACCAACCAAGCCTAGGAGGTTACAAGGTCACTGCTAAAAGCTTTACTCAGTAGCAGATTGTTTGATCCTGAATGGAAATATTTTTAAACAGGTTGGCCTTTGCAAACAGTATTGAGAGGTTGGTACATGATTAATGCACAGTATAATTTAAGGACATTATAAAAGTGAGAATACCAGCTTATTTGGAATGTGTGGTAAACACATTCCAAATAAGTCAGCAGACCAGTTTTAGGACAGGGATCATTAATCCTCAGTAATTACTTTAATTAAATTATAACTGGATTCTATGTTAAAATATGCAAATTAGGCACTCCATTATATTTAAAATGGAACTGTCACCATCTGGGTGACATCCCGTTGGGGGTCCGGTGGCTGGGAGAGGGCAGGCTGAGGTGATTTTAATTAACCTGAACCTGTTCCTCATGGGTGTTGTCATTATACTCTTGATATTCCAATTATTCCAATTTACTTTTTCCCAGTTCAGCAATTAATTGTCTTCTACTCTTTATTTCCGCCCTATCCCTCAGTATATAAATCTCACCTTACACCCACATCACTCATCCCCCATCCATTTTTACATGTGCCCCTCTCTGCTGCACTCATTTTTCTACTCTCTCACTCCTACCCACAATCAATCAATCTCATCCTAGACCCCATGCATACAAAACCCATTCACACTTCCTGTCACTTTCTCTCATCCTGCTTCTAGCAGATGGTGATGTCTCTCCCAATCCAGGGCCCTTCACCTTCTCTACACACAGTGAGAAAACCAGAAACCCCACAAACCTCATCACAATACCCTGCCCTTTACCCTCACTCAGGGCCGCCACCAGAAGTGTTGGGGCCCCGCCTCCAACCCCGCCCACAGAGTCCGCCTCCAAATCCCGCCCACAGGAATATACACACACACACACAGACACAAAACGACACAGATAAACACACACACAAAGATACTAACAGACACACATACTGAAACAGACATACACGCATATAGGCATACGTACTGACACACATACGGAGACATACACACAGGCATACATAGTGACAGATAGACACATACTAACATACATACAGACACACATGCATGAGGACATACACATACATACACACAGACATTCATACTAGCATACATACATTCATACAGACACTGACATCCATACATTCATGTATTCAGACATACTGACATACATACATTCATAATGACAGGGGTCCTCAAACTTTTTAAACAAGGGGCCAGTTCACGGTCCCTCAGACACTGTTGGGGGCCGGACAACAATATGAACAAATTCCAAGGCACACTGCGCGCACACACACACAAAATATATATATATATATATATATATATATATATATATCTCAGACAGACATATACATACATACATATTGAAATACATACAGATCCATACACACAGACAGAAATGCATACATACACATACTGACTTACACACACACAGACATACTGACATACATACATACACACATACATACAGACATTCTGACATACATACAGACACATACAACTAATTTTTCTTACTTTTTTTGCAGGTGGAAGGCTGTGGCTGATGGGAGTTGGCGTGGCTCAGGTGGCCTGGCTTTCTTCCCTCCCGCACAGAGGGAGCTGGGAGGAAGTGATGGCAACTTCCTCCCAGCAGTACTTTGCGGCTCCGATTTTTTTTTTAAAGGGGCCCTGTCGCGCTAATGCACAGCCGCAGCGCTGACCGGGCCCCTGAAGATACAGGGCCCATCGGATGGCCCTAAGTGCGTGGGTCACCCAATAGCCCCCATCAGCGTGCAGGCCCCGGTGCAACTGCATCGGCGGAAGTTCCGCCGCTACACGTGGTTATGGTTGTCACCCCCTGATGGTGGCCCTGCCCTCACTTACCAACATTCAGTGTGCACTCTGGAACGCCCGCTTCATCTGCAGTTATTTAAAATCAACAGCCATACACGACTTTTTCATCTCAAACTCACTCACACTACTTGCACTTACAGAGACCTGGCTGTCCCCCTCTGATAGCGCTACTCTTGCCTTTTTAGGTTTTGGTGGGCTACAATTCTCTCACACTCCCAGACTCAACTGTAAAGGAGGTGGTGTAGGCATCCTTCTCCTCCCTCAATGTACCTTTCAACCTGCCCTATCCTTTTCTTCTTTTGAAGTTCACACTGTCCGCCTATTTAAACCCACTCCTTTAAGAATTGCAATCATCTACTCCCCCCCTGTCCTAGCTCTGCAACCTCCTTCTACAATTCCACCCTCTCCTTTCAACTAGACATCATTGCACCTCCTACATTTAAACTCAGCAAGCGCCCCCAACAACAATCTTGGCACACCAAGATGACTCGATACTTTCAAAAATGCTCCAGAACTGTTGGAGAAAGTCTCACTGTGTGTCTGACTTTCTCCACTATAAATTCATGCTGCGCTCGTACAGCTTGGCTCTTTCCTCTGCAAAAGCAAATTACTTCAATGCCATCATAACCACAATCTCTGGCAAATAGAAAAAAACTACTATTTCACACATTTAACTCTTCTTCGCTCTATTGTTCCTCCTCCACCTACTAACTTGACCGCCTCAGACTTTGCAGCTCACTTCACTGACAAGATCTCTACAATCAGGGAAGAGATCTCTCATCTTTCTTCTTCCCCTTACAATACTTCCCCTAACCTCACTCCCTCTGCTATTCTATGTTAATTCGCACCCACTACAGAGGAAGAGGTTTCTGCTCTGCTCCAGTCCTCCTGCCCCACCACCTGCTCCCTAGATCCAATTCCCTCGCATCTCATCCGTACTCTGCCTTCTTCTCTTTCTCCACCTCTCACTAAAATTCTCAATCTCTGTCTCTCCTCTGGCATATTTACATGCAACTATAACCCCATTTCTAAAGAAGCCCAGCATTGACCCTAACTCCCCTCCTTCACGCCTCATGTTCAGTCTATCGCCAAATCCTGCCGCTTCTATCTCAAAATCATTGCTTGCTTCCGACCCTACTTAACGCCAGATGTGACTAAGGATCTGGTCCATTCCACTGTCCTTTCTCGCCTTGACTACTGTAATCCGCTTCTCAGTGGTCTTACATGCTCCCAACTTGCGCCATTATAGTCCATAATGAATGCGGCGGCAAGGCTCATCTTCCTGTCTGCCCGCATCTCCCACGCCTAACCCTTCTGTCATTCCCTACATTGGCTTACTGTAAGATATAGGGCTCAATTTAAAATTCTGGTTTTTGCTTTCAAATCTCTACATAATGCTGCTCCCATCTATCTATCCTCCCTAATACACAAGAATGTTCGGTCTAGGCCCTTACACTCTTCTGAAGACTTACGTTTATCTTCTGTCCGTACTCCTAGCTCTGATGCTCGCCTTTAAGACCTCGAGGGCTGCACCATTCCTGTGGACCTCACTTCCCTCCTCCGTTAGGTGCTCACCAAGTCTCCACTCCTTCAAAAAAATCATTAAAAACCCACTTCATAAAAGCGTATCAATTAAACTGTTAATAGCTCCCACCTGATTCCTCTCTTGCAACTGTCATTAGTCTATTATTATTATTATTGCGATTTATATAGCGCCAACAGATTCCGTAGCGCTTTACAATATTATTAGAGGGGGGATTAGACTATAAATAGGACAATTACAAGAAAACTTACAGAAACGAAGGGTTGAAGAGGGCCCTGCTCAAATAAGCTTACAATCTATAGGTTGTGTCACTTTACCCCACTCCCTCTAGTATGTAAGCTCATTGAGCAGGGCCCTCAACCCCTCTGTTCCTGTGTGTCCAACTTGTCTGGTTACAACTACATGTCTGTTCGTCCACCCATTTTAAAGCGCTGCGGAATTTGACGGCTACATAATAATCTTCTGACCAATCCTCTTCTGCTCCTAGTGCTTCCAGGAGCCAACATCCCTGCTGTACTCTCATGCATGCTTAACGTTGAGGCTGTGGGATTCTCCACCAACAGATCTAAGAAATCGAAAGATTTCCCTGCAGCCATCACTGATGACCGCTCCGCCTAGTGTCAAGCAGTGACAGATGTAGGAGAAATACTGAGATAAAATAGTCCCTACTTTGTCTCAGTATGTCTTTTGACTGATGTACACTTTCAATGAAATTCCAACACAGTCAGTCAATATGAGTAGATCAAAGATTTTCTCTGGTTGACAGTGTCACTTTATCCTCCTCACCCACTTTACACATAGATCCCTTCAGTTTAAGTATAATGGTCAGAAACCAGGACTGTTCAAGTGTTCTATTTCAGAGAAATCTTGTGATGAAGATCCCAACCTTTTTTACACCTTTATTAACCCACTTCTATATCAAAAACCCTTGGTATTGTTTCATACAATGTGCACGGCAACAATTTTTTTATTTGGTAACAAAAAAAATATATAATTAACAATTATAATTTGATAGACAGTTGCAGAAATGGTGCAGGGGTATAAATTAAGCTGCACTTATCTAACTTTGGTAAATCCAAACAAATGGATTTATTCATACATAGATTAACAGCCATTTGATTCGTTCAGCAGAGCTGAATGGGATTTGTGCACACATTTACTCTATAAACGTCTTACAAATATTTGTAAGGTTCAATCAAGATATAATTCATGACAACATGTATATGGACACCGGCAACATAATTTTCCAAAATTTGGTTTGAATATGGATTTGAAACCATCTCTGCTGCATTTAGTGTCCTCTATTCTGGCATAGCGTTTCACTAACAGGGAAAAATATATTTACTAAAATGTGAATTGTCAGGGATTTTAACATTTATTTTAGGCCACAACAGCCAATCAAAAAACAGGGTTGACTTGGAGGATTTTTTCAACTATATTGGCCTAAAATTTTAAATTTACTTGAAATTCTCAAAAATATACACTTTAGTATATAATCTTGTAAATGTTGGAGTTTGAGCAGGATATAGTTTTCATTCATTTATACGAGCACTGATGTAAGTCTTGAAAACAACGTCATGGCCACATAATTGCCAGGGGTAGATTGTAAGGGATTAAGGCAGTATAAATGGAAAGCATGGACCTTTGTGCTCTAATTGTGTTTATGTTCACACATTTAGAAATACTAATGAAACTGTTAATTAAATGACTTTATTGACACATAGTACTTGGCAAAAAAAAATAGGATCTCACCAATCATACAGGGCGTTGCTTCATTATCAAAGCAGTCAAATGTGGTTTGTTTGAACAACCCAATGTTTGTTTTTTTCTAATTCACAATATGGTTTGTATGCCTGATTATCCTGACAGAGCCAAAGGATGCCATGTTAATTATTTTAACTCTTGCAATACAATTCACGGCACATATATGGACATGCGTAACGCTAACAGCTTTATTTAAGTTTAAAATTCACTTTGAATTCTCATCTGAGTAAAGTGGATCTGCCACTTTTTAGCATTTCAAAAATGTGACAGGAACGGCCGTGCCACAGACACTTGGAGTGGCGTTAAGGCTAGCTTCCTGTCCAAAACCTTAGGCCTTGGGGAGATAGCGCTGCCAAGCGGACAAGGGCACATGTATGAGTGTGAGGATAGATGCTTGTGATTGGCTGTATGTGTATATGGGAGTGGTTATGTGTTTGGGAGTGGTGTAGGGATCAGCTTACCTCAGTGCCTCTTGGGAGACGGGCCAGCAAGCAACTTACCCTGATTCTGTTGCACCTCTTTGTCCTGGGCCTGTTGATTTTACCTGCTTGAGGGATGCATGTGGATTCAATCCTGCTGCCCTCAAAGCTGCAGCTGCCCTGGATGGGGGTGGGCACCTTCCTGAGCAATTGGCTCCCCTCCAGCCTGGTTTAGCCACCGGTGTGGGTCAACCCCCACAGCTACAGCCGTGTAGACCGCAAAGGCCAGCGCTCCCGCCCGCCTGCTCCCTGTATCCAGATAGAGCGCCTAGGCCCAATATGGGAGACTTAGCCTGGGCCCTTGGTGCTGCTGGGCCCTAGGCGCTACCAGGCCCAGGTGTCTGCCCCTTGTGACACTCAGCCTGCTCCCTGTGGAGTTTCCTGCGCACCCCCAGCTATAGACAGCGGGCCAGGGTGCCAGAAGAAGGCCTGCACAGCCCGGGGCATCTGGGAGGCCTTCCCAGGCACCTCGCGGTTTGACGGTTTGGTTTGGACCTGCGACTGGGCCTGTGGTGGTGAGTGGGCTTCTTGGGGCCACGTGGGGCACTGCTGTACTGCCGTTGGGGAGGGGATTGAGGGGCATCCTCCCCTGGTTATGTGTGTCCTCTGGGTCCAACGACAGCTGGGGGGGGTCCCCCTCTACTCCTTTTCCTCTGCCCCTCATTTTAGCGCTCTCTTCCAGTTTTGGGCTTCTCCCCCCCCCCTTCCTTTTGTCTCCCTTCCGTCCCCCTCTCTCCTGCCTTCTCCTGTCCTCCCTGTATTCCTTGCTGGTCGTGTGAGCTCACAGGATCTGGCTGCTGTTCCTGGGGCTGTCCAGCAGGTGGTGCCTGGAACTCCTGCAACACTGAATAGTGTTGAAAATGGATTTACCTCAATCCTGCCAGGTTCTTCCTCATCTCCTATGCCACGGATTGACAAATGGGCATCGGCTGGTGAGTATGGTACTATTTCTTCCTTACAGTCAGGTGGTCCCTCTCTGTGGGGGTTCCCATTGGGTCTTAGGGATTTTCTGGGTCAGTGGGAATAGGGGGCACAAGCGTGCAGGGATTTCCCCCTTAGGTAGTCAGCTTTGACGGTTTGGTCCGCCGTGCAGCGGCCTCAAGTGGTGCGGACTGTGCAAGGGGTCATGGGTAGCCAGTGCCTAGTGGCACTAGTGTTTCTTCGGTGGCGTTGGGTGCTACCACAACTGCTGCTGTATGTGCGATAATAGGTGCCGTTGAGGTTCCTGCGATGACGGGCTGGGTCTCTGGGTTTTTTCACCTGTCGCAGGAAATTAGGGATAAAGATTGGGAAAGGAAAATTTATCAAGATTGTCTCCCCCCTGCCAATGGAGGAGGCCCCTCCACTGGGGAAGAAGGACGGTGAGGCAGAGATAGAGAATGAACAATCCATAACCCGAGGGTCCCCAGGAGGTTTGGTTATTGGATTTGCGCGTTTTAATCTGGCTAGTGTCGTTGGAGAAAAGGCGTCTCACAAGTGCTCCGCATTAGTCTGCTACCAGGACACCATTTAGAACGCTTGATGTACCTATGGTGGAAGTGTGACGAGCAATTTCAAAAACATTTGGCGGTGCACCCCTCAATTTTCTGGGACCAGATTGACATGGCATCTGGCTCCCCATTATAACCCGTGCCGCAGCAGGGTGATTTCTCGTCCTTTCTTGGGGAGGCTGGTGGGGGTGGATCATCCACCTCCCCGGCAGCGTGGCAGAGGTCAGGCTGTTGTTGCACATTTAATGACAGTCATTGTACATGGGGTGCCTCGTGCACCGAATGCTCCGTCTGCGGGGGTGCTCATCCCATCTCTCAGTGACGAGGACAAGCTAGTGAGACAGGGGATCTGGGTACTATGGGCAACAACACCAGTTGTCCTAAGCACAATGTGCCCGTGGCTCGCCCGTTCTAGGATCCGTTGGGCAGCCAACATCCTGTTGGAAGGCGTTGGGCAGGGTTTTTGTTTTCCTTTCTCTTTCACCCCCTTTCGTTGCTGGTTCGGAACTGTTTCGGACTGCCTGCCACCCTGACCGGGTAACTCCGTCTATCACTGCTTCCCAGTACTTGCGAGTACCATAATCACTGCACTGGAACACCATAACCACCGTAGAGCCCCCGAACCGCCGCAGCTTGGTTGGGGTCTCACCTTGGACCCAAGACCAGGATCCAGCTTCCAGTGGGAAGACCTCTCCTAGGCCCGAGAGCGTAGCAGGAACAGGGGACAAACCACAGCACTTCTTGCCCTAAGTCGCCGTAGCTTGACTGGGGCCCTGGAACCACTCCTTCGTGGAGCCAAATGGGGAGTTAGCTCTGACACCTCCAGGCACTGGACGACACTCAGTCCTGGGAACTCTGGAACTGAATGGGGAATTAGTTCTAGTACTTACAAGGACTTTCCCCGTTTAATATCCTGCAAGCTGGAACAGCAGACACAGGAGCAAATCTTCTTTCCCTCCAATAACAGGATGACACACAGTTTTGGAGTGTAAGCAGGAACAGAAAGTTTAATGGCACACACTGGTCTTTTATACAAGTTTTACAGCAAAGGTGATGCCTAGATGGACCTAGTTGGGCACCGAATACAAAACATACAAACCAATAAATACAGAGGTTTACATTCAGACACTCCCATACAGTGTACACAATCCCTCCCCTCTGCCTGTGATATAATTAACGAAGACAATGGACTAACTCAATTAACTCTAAGCAGAAAAAAAAAAAACATACAAAAAAGAAAAGTACCCCAAAATACAACATATCACCACATTTTCGGGCGGTCGGCCCGCAGGCGGAGCTGGAAGGGGCTCCGTGCCCGGTGGAGATGTGGTAGATTGGTCTGGCAGATTAAGGGATTTGTCCATGGGTCAGGCTCTCAGGCCTCGTGGACCCGATATGGTGAGGACAGGGTTTCTGTGGTGTAATTGTTGTTGCGTACGCCTAACACGCAAACGGCCCCCGTTCTGGACCGAGTAGAAACATCTTTGCATTTGGTCTGGTGGGAGCATACTCCAGGGGGTTTTGATGTCTCAGGATTTTAGCGGGGAGTACGCCGGTAGCCCCCCTTTGCTATCTCCTCACCTTTTGAGGGTCTTAGTTCCTGCTACGTGTGTGGGAAGATTC